CATTTATGTAAAAGTACATATGACGTTTTGTGAAAAATATGTACGTGATGAAGAAAAATGGATATAATTTTTGGATTCAGCGTACACGATTTACTGTAGAACATGTAGAGATTTCAAGACAATAAAACCATCGCAGGCCTGTGTAATCCAAGTACATTGTTAATAAGGTAACGGAATTTCGAAGACGTACAATCGTTACAATCAGAAATACTGAACAAAAAATACGGAATGAAGATAAAATATTACCCATGTATTTCCATAACGCAATTAATTATTGAGGAATGGATTTGTTTAGTGCCTATAGTAATTATTATAATAAAGGAAGTAATGCATCTGTTTCGCAAATCTACAATGTCTTGTAAAATCTGTAATCCTGTTTTAGCGTAGATTGTTTGTTTATTTGTAGTTAAGCACAAAGCTACACAACGGGCTATCTGTGCTCTGCCCACCACGGGTATCGAAACTCGGTTTCTAGCGTTGTAAGTCCGCAAACATACCGCTGTGAATATTTAGAATATTTATAAAATTATGTTTATTATCTTACTGATCATTCTAATTTTTTACACTACTGTAAAACTTAGTGAAATATGTTTTCCAAGTCATAACATCGATAAGTAAATATCTGATTATATCATTAGATTGAAATATGGTCTAACTTCAAGGGTATACTGATCAATATTGTGGTCTACAAACAAATATTATTTTCTTGAGTTATTTTATCCAAATTATATTGTATACCAATTCTGATGTACAATTATCGTAAAATTCCCAATTTACTTTTCATCTACAAAAAGTCAAAAGAGTTAATGAACAGATTGATAAATACAAAAATGGACGTACTAGTATTCAGTACCTTGTTACCTTCATTTGTGTCAGGATAGCAACAACTATCACTGCTGTTCTCAGACCAAACCGTATTACCCAAGTCACTTGCTTCTGAATCTGTAACGAAAGTTAAATAGTTGTTGGAAATTTCTTAGGAGAAAAGTTCAGTTAAAATTTCCTAATTTAAGATTTTGTGATTTTCATAGATAAAATGTGTTCTCGATTTTAAATTTCTTTGCCGTCACGTTGCTCACATACTGAACTATATCTTAGTAACCCAGAAAAATTTATTGGGCATTTTAGAATGTACAAGTAGCTTAAGACACTCAAGTAATGAAACAATGAAATTGCAGGGTATATCTACACAACCTTTTTGTTTGATCTTGCCAGTAACTATATTGATCTTAACATATGGTTGTTACATCGGGTATTACGTAAGTTTTCATAAACAAGATTTTCCCCCAAATCTAGTATCTTTATTATTTATAGATTTTGTATGATGCTAAGTAGGGCGCATTAAAATAATTGAGTTTGTGAATTTGTTTTACAGGAACTATAATAGCCGAAACGTAAAAAAAAATCATGTTAAAGAATATTAAGCATGCATTGTATCTGTCTATTCTTATTATGATAATGTCATATTCTATACTATCCCACGAAACTTGATCAGGTTGTCGTTTCAGTCCATTACTAAATGAAATATTTTAGAGTAAGACAGCGTAACTATAAAAGTAAATAAAAAACATTAAGATAAAAAAATAATGAAGAAAGACAAATCTTTAGAAGCGATAGAAGTATTGGATTTTCTTTTAAACTCAAAATGAAGCATATTCTTCTTACAAATTCGATGTATTTCATAAAGATTTGCTTTTATATTCATAAATATTTTACACGCCTACGCGCACGTTTACTTAGGGTTAAGAGTAATTCATTTTGTTACTGTATTTTCTAACGATTTTGTTTGTTTGTTTGTTT